CAACGTCCAAAAGTGGTCCGAACCCTGGCTGTTCCTTGTGCACATTTTGACTTCGAAATGTGCTTCGCGCCACAACGGCGTGCACTTTTTCGACATCTCAACTTCCAAAAGTGGTCCGACAATGGTGTGTTTTGTACATTTTGACTTCGAAATGTGCTTCGCGCCACAACGGCGTGCAATTTTTCATCTCTCATCTGGCCAGCTGGCTCCGCACCCGCCGCTTTAGCGAGCCTACTGTTCGACCCTCCGGAGCCCCAAATCATTGGAAAAACACAGTGTTTCGCGACTTTCCTACCTTTTCGCGCATCTGCATCTTCTTTCTTCTGACTCTTTCTCTTCTACTCTTCTCTCTTCTAATCTTTCTCTTCTCTCTGCCTCTGCCCTACTCTGCTTTTCATCTGTCCATATTGTCGGAAGTTTGACTTCTAAACTTTCTTCGATGAAAAAAACCGTATCTGATTTTACTCCTAATTTGTTTCGTCGTTCTGTAATTCTTGTCGGAGCGCTGTTGTTCTATAATTCTGTTTTCCCCCATTTTTCCCACATTTCCCATGTTCGTTCTATAATTAATTTTCTCCGTTCTATAATTCATTTTATCTTCATTTTATCTTCATTTTATCTTCATTTTATCCTCATTTTCTCATCAAATCCTCATTAAATCCTGATTAAATCCTCATGTTATTTTCATTTTATCTTTATTTTATCCTCATTTCCCCATCAAATCCTCATTTTATCTTCATTTTATCCCCATTTTATCCTCATTTTATCCTCGTTTCCTCATCAAATCTTCATTTTATCCTCATTTTATCTTCATTTCCTCATCAAATCCTCAATAAATCCTCATTAAATCTTCATTTTATAGATTGTATATGTACAAATATGCAGTAAATATCATGGAGGTGCCAGAAATTATAGAACGGGGAAATTTAATTATAGAACGGAGAAATTTAATTATAGAACGGGGAAATTCAATTATAGAACGGATCCGAATCCGCGCAGAATCGGGATCCGGAGGAGTACGAAGGTACGGTATTTTACCGTACTTTTGTACTCCTGGCTCCGTTCTATAATTCTGGCACTGACTGTAGATATAGATATAGATATAGATATATAATATACTCCACACACATAGAATATGGAATTGAAATTTTGGCTTCCCAGGGCATCCCCATAATTGAACTTGAAACAGGATACTTAGAATACAGTTGACGTCAAAAAACCTATACTTAGAATATCGTTGGGCCATATATTTTTTTTCACTTTTCCAGACGAATTCGTCATTTTTCCATAGAAATTCTTCACTTTTCTTTATAAATCTTTCACGTTTCCATACAAATTTTTCACTTTTCCATATTTTTGCAATGAATTCTTTCTCTTGTTCAGTAAAATTCATCATTTTTCCATATATATATATATTTCTTAATAAACCCTTCACATTTCTATACAAATTCTTCACTTTTCCATATTTTTTCCATATAACTTCTTTCATGTTTCCAGACAAATTCATTATTTTTCCATATAAATTCTTCAGTTTCCTATAGCAATTCTGCGCGTTTCCAGCGAAAATAGTTAACATTTTTTTAAAAGAACACCACCTAATTCCATTAGTTTTCATTGCAAACTAGTCTTTTTTCATAATTCTCCGACACCGTTCGTGGGGGGTACCCTTCGGTGAGCTTGAAAAATTCATTTTTTTAATACAATATGAAAAGAAATTGATCATTTCGGGGGACCTGTTTTTTTGTTGAAACGTTCCAGTTTAGGAACTTCAGACATCCAGGATTGCTGCTCCCCAAAGGGAATTACGTATTTAATAATTATACATGAAGGGGACCCTATTCCTTGCAGAACTACATACATAGAAAATAGGTCCCCAGTGAAAATATTCATCATTTTTTTAAGGAATGCCACCTAATTCCATTGGTTTTCATTGCAAAATAGTTTTTTTCATAGTTCTACGACGCCGGTCGTGGGGGGTACCCTTCGGTGAGCTTGAAAAAATCATTTCTTTAATGCAATATAAAAAGAAATTGATCATTTCGGGGACCTGTTTTTTTCTTGAAACGTTCTATTTTAGGAACTTCAAACATCCAGGGTTGCTACTCCCCAAAGGGAATTACGTATATCATATACACCCAAATTCCTTTCAGAACTACATACATAGAATATAGGTCCCCGGTGAAAATATTCATTCATTTTATAGGTTTTCATTGCAAAAATATGTTTTTTGTCATAGTTCCCCGACACCGGAAGGGGATACCCTTCCGTGAGCTTGAAAAACTCATTTTTTAAATACAATATGAAAAGAAATTGATCATCGGGGGACCTGTTTTTTTGTTGAAACGTTCCAGTTTGGGAACTTCAGATATCCAGGATTGCTGCTACCCAAAGGGAATTGCGTATATAATACCTATACATGAAGGGGACCCTATTGCTTGCAAAACTACATACATAGAATATAGGTCCCCAGTGAAAAATATTCATCAATTTTTGAAGGAATGCCACCTAATTCCATTAGTTTTCATTGCCAACTAGTTTTTTTTTCATAGTTCTCCGACACCGTTCGTGGGGGGTACCCTTCGGTGAGCTTGAAAAACTCATTTTTGTAATACAATATGAAAAGAAATCGATCATTTCGGGGGACCTGTTTTTTTGTTGAAACGTTCCAGTTTATGGACTTCAGACATCCAGGGTTGCTACTCCCCAAAGGGAATTACGTATTTAATAATTAAACATGAAGGGGACCCTATTCCTTGCAGAACTACATACATAGAATATAGGTCCCCAGTGAAAATATTCATCAATTTTTTTTGGAACGCCACCTAATTCCATTAGTTTTCATTGCCAACTAGTTTTTTTTCATAATTCTCCGACACCGTTCGTGGGGGGTACCCTTCGGTGAGCTTGAAAAAAACATTTTTTTAATACAATATGAAAAGAAATTGATCATTTCGGGGGACCTGTTTTTTTGTTGAAACGTTCCAGTTTAGGAACTTCAGACATCCAGGATTGCTGCTCCCCAAAGGGAATTACGTATTTAATAATTATACATGAAGGGGACCCTATTCCTTGCAGGACTACATACATAGAATATAGGTCCCCAGTGAAAATATTCATCAATTTTGTAAGGAATGCCACCTAAGTCCATTGGTTTTCATTGCAAAATATTGTTTTTTCATAGTTCTCCGACACCGGTCGTGGGGGGTACCCTTCGATGAGCTTGAAAAATTCATTTTTTTAATACAATATGAAAAGAAATTGATCATTTCGGGGGACCTGTTTTTTTGTTGAAACGTTCCAGTTTAGGAACTTCAGACATCCAGGATTGCTGCTCCCCCAACGGAGTTATGTATATGATAATTATATGACCTTATACATGGAAAAGATCAAATTCCTTGCAGAACTACATACATAGAAAATAGGTCCCCAGTGAAAATATTCATCCATTTTTTCAGGAACACCACCTAATTCCATTAGTTTTCATTGCAAGATATGTTTTTCTTTCATAGTTCCTCGATACCGGTCAAGGTGGGTACCTGTAGGTGAGCTTGAACAATTTCAAAAAGGATTTTGATGGTGTTTTGAGGATTTTAGTGGGGTGAAAAAATTGAAACATGACCATTTATGTCCATTTATAATGCAGTATGGGTGATATTTTGATAATTCAAAACAAAATAGTGGGGTGAAAACTTGAAAAATGTTCTTGTATGCTGCAGTACGGATGATATTTTGATAATTCAAAGGATTTTGGTGGGGTGAAAATTTGAAACATGTCCATATATGTCTATTTATGCTGCAGTATGGGTGATATGTTGATAATTCAAAGAATTTTAGTGGGATGACAATTTGAAAAATGTCCATTTATGTCCATTTATGCTGCAATATGGGTGATATTTTGATAGTTCAAACGAAAATTAGTGGGGTGAAGAATTGAAAAATGTCCATTTATGCTGCAGTATGGGTGATATGTTGATAATTCAAATGGGGAGAAAACAAATGAGCACGAAATGGGGGCATATTCTATGTGGAGTTGCGTTCGAGTTCAACTGCAGAATTGGAAAAACGCATATTCTATGTGAGTGGAGTAGATTATATATATATATAGAGATAGATATGTATATATATATATTATACACACACATATTTGATCCTTGACTTGACAGAAGTGCAGCTCCTGCTGCCGCCTGTCGCATCAACTCAAAAGGGCAGATCGCTGTAGGCCCGTTGGGTTTCTCTTTGCAATATTCTTCGTAGCATTTTGAGGGTCTATGATTTCGGTTTTAGAGGACCTCTTGCTGAGATTCTTATGCAGTGACATTTGAGGGGACAGATACTGTAGCCGGTGGGCCCATTGGTACAATGTACGACAAGAAGACATAACTTTGCACGCAGCACAGAGGCTCCAAAGACTTGACATTGGTCAGCCGAGCATGTCATGCAGACGCTTCTTTTCTGTTTATTTGCTTGCTCGCTGATGGTATAGTTTTCTTCTCTGTACAGTTCTAACTACCAGAACGACTGCAAGCGCAGCGTCTTAATTCGTTTACACAGCTTGGCTGCCAAGTCTTTGTAGCAAGTCCCTGAATTTGGGTGTATTCTGCAGAAGATGATTCACCCCAGCAAACCACTTCAGTAAAAGGCCTAGTCATGGACCTGGAAGTGGCCAGTGATCCATACCGAAGTCTTTACATTTTACTTTGCGGCGGATCAAACACTCAACTCTTAATGTCTTAATGTAGCATTTTGTTTAGATAGATTTTGTTGCTGCAGGATCCTGAACCTACAGATGCCGTTGACCCTTTCTCTGATGTCATGGCACAGCTTGCCGCGTCCTTGATTTGAGGGCTACCGGGCTACCATGTTTTGAGAATTCTATTCGTGCCATCGTGTGCCATCTTGTTTTCCTTCTCAAAGTTTCAGCAGTGCTTTTTGAAGGCTTTCAGAAGGTAATTAAGGCTTTGACTCTGCTTCAGGATAGAGGCTTAGATGCGCGGCAGCAAATGATCGATGCGCTAAAAGCGCAGCTAAACAAGTCGGAACCTCAGAGCCAGAGAGGCAAAAGGAGTTGTCGGATTCGGTCAGATAGAAAGGGAGGAATTTGGAGGACGCAAGCCATTTGAGCTCGTTTGACACTTGCCATCCTGATGTGGGACCGCGCGAACACTCAGGTCAGTTGCAGCCCCAAAATCTAAGCGGTCGGCATCAGAGGCTCTCCCTTCAACTTGTCATGCCTGGCTGAGCCCGTGCAATTTTTATCAAATGAAATTTTGTGAGGCAGTGCAAGCAGTGCAAGCTGTGCAAGCTGTACCAGCCGTGCAAGCCCCTGAGCCGGTTGCGCAACACAAGGCTGCACCATGCCAGGGCTTACACAGCTCGTTGCTCACTGGGACAGTGCCCCCACCTTTGTCTGAACGCCGCACTGCTCCAAGCATTCCAAGCATTCCAAGCATTCCAAGCATTCCGAGCATTCCGGGCATTCCGGGCATTCCGGGCATTCCGGGCATTGTCAGCCCTCCACAAGTGTCGCCACCTGGTCTGTCTCAAACAACGGTGGGGACACCGATGACACCACCGCAGCCTTCGGGTTTCCCCTTGGCTTCTACAACTCCGATGACTCCGATGACACTGGGGCCACTTGGTCACCCACCGAGCCTTGCAGGAGCAGTTCTGATCCTTCGAGACCGTATGACTTTGACACATTATGACACAGAATGGCGTAAGAGTTTGAGCCAATCAGAGCGAAACCGCCAATTCAACACTAAGAAGACTATTTCAGAATATTTCAAGGATGGGCCAATATGGGCATGTGTGGATATCTAGGGTCATGTAAGAATTGCATGTTCAGCGAGTTCAGAGCAAAGATAAGCAAAAGTACCTTCTTGGAAGACGTGAGTCCCAAGCAAAGCCAAAGGTCTTGAGACGGGCAGAAAGCCCCCCAAAGATCCCAGAGAAGAGCACTTCTTACTGGCATCTCACAGGCTCTAGGCATTTCAGTGCCTGAAAAGCATATTTATTGGCAGAAACGTGTTCGGAAAGAAACTTGTTTGACATAAACAAACGGGTCCGTGAACTGGATGATTCATTCAAGCACGGGTTGTTTGTGCGTCATTCACTACACTATACAGATTCTGCAGTCAGACGTCCGTTCATTTGACAGATTTCTCCCAGCTCAACCATTCTGTGTGAGGAGAACCGCCTGCCAAGCGCTGGAGATCTGAAGGCCTTGCAGCCAGTGAATCAGTGAATCTTTTGCCCCGCTGGTGGACACGTCACAGGCGTACCCCTTCCAATGCGAGCTCCGCAAGCGCAGGACTTAACCCTTTAAACTATTCTAACATCAGAGTTATTTTTTTGCTGCCTGAAAATGGTGTCGATTTTGCATAGGACTTCGCAGCTAGAGAGTCGGAGCAAGCTGCATTGGCTGCTAGGCTTGGCGGTCGAGATTCTTGACATTGAAATTTTGAAAGCACACCTGAAGATCAGCGTTTTCAGTTGCATCACAAACAAGATGAAGCCCACGAACCCGAATGCTCACACGTATGTTAATGGTACAGATGTCAAAACACATGGTTATGCAGTCACGCACAATACCTTTCTGCAATAGTTTATTTGAACAGTCTTGTGCATGTTTCCCTTGTTACCAGTCTGCAGTGTGGAGTGGAAAGTGTAGAGTGTGGAGTGTGGAGTGTGAAGTAAGGAGTGTGGAGTGTGGAAAGTGTGGAGTGGGGAGCGTAGAGTGTGTAAAGTGTAGAATGCGGAGTGTAAAGTGTAGAGTTTGGAGTATGGAGTGTAAAGTGTAAAGTGTGGAGTGTAGAGTGTGGAGTGTGGAGTGTAGAGTGTAGAGTGTGGAGTGAGGAGTGTAAAGTGCAAAGTGTGGAGTGTGGAGTGTAAAGTGAGGAGTGTAAAGTGTGCAGTGAGGAGTGTGGAGTGTAAAGTGAGGAGTGCAAAGTGTGGAGTGAGGAGTGTGGAGTTTGTAAATTGTAGAGTGTGAAGTCTAGAGTGGAAAGTGTAGAGTGTGGTGTGTAGAGTGTGGAGTGTGGAGTGTGGAGTGTGGAGTGTAAAGTGAGGAGTGTAAAGTGTGGAGTGTGGAGCGAGGAGTGTAAAGTATAAAGTGTGGAGTGTACAGTAAAGTGTGGAGTGTGGAGTGCGGAGTGTGGAGTGGAAAGTGTAGAGTGTGGAGTGTGGAGTGTAAAGTGTAGAGTGTGGAGTGTAGAGTGTGGAGTGAGGAGATGTGAGGAGTGTAAAGTGTAAAGTGTGGAGTGTGGAGTGTAAAGTGTAGAGTGTGGAGTGTTGAGTGTGGAGTGGAAAGTGTGGAGTGCAAAGTGTAGAGTGTGGAGTGTAAAGTGTGGAGTGTAAAGTGTGGAGTGAGGAGTTGTAAAGTGTGGAGTGTGGAGTGTAAAGCGTGGAGTGTGGAGTGTGGAGTGTGGAGTGTGAAGTGTGGAGTGTAAAGTAAGGAGCAAGGAGTGTAAAGTGTGGAGTGTGGAGTGAGGAGTGTGAAGTGTGGAGTGTGGAGTGTAAAGTGTGGAGTGAGGAGTGTAAAGTGTTGAGTGTGGAGTGTAAAGTGTGGAGTGTAAAGTATGGAGTGTGGAGCAAAAAGTGTAGAGTGTGGAGTCTGGAGTGGAAAGTGTAGAGTGTGGTGTGTAGAGTGTGGAGTGTGGAGTGTAAAGTGAGGAGTGTAAAGTGTGGAGTGTGGAGCGAGGAGTGTAAAGTATAAAGTGTGGAGTGTACAGTAAAGTGTGGAGTGTGGAGTGCGGAGTGTGGAGTGGAAAGTGTAGAGTGTGGAGTGTGGAGTGTAAAGTGGGGAGTGTGGAGTGTAGAGTGTGGAGTGAGGAGTGTAGAGTGTGGAGTGTGGAGTGTAAAGTGTAGAGTGTGGAGTGCGGAGTGTGGAGTGGAAAGTGTAGAGCGTGGTGTGTAGAGTGTGGAGTGTGGAGTGTAAAATGTAAAGTGTGGAGCATAGAGTGTAAAGTGTCGAGTGTGGAGTGTGGAGTGTAGAGTGTAAAGTGTAAAGTGTAGAGTGTAAAGTGTAGAGTGTGGAGTGTAGAGTGTAAAGTGACGAGTGTAAAGTGTGGAGTGAGGAGTGTAAAGTGTGGAGTGTGGAGTGTAAAGTGAGGAGTGTGGAGTGTGAAGTGGAAAGTGTGGAGTGTGAAGTGTGGAGTGTAAAGTAAGGAGTGTGTAGTGTAAAGTGTGGAGTGTGGAGTGTAAAGTGTAGAGTGTGGAGTGTGGAGTGTAAAGCGCAAAGTGTAAAGTGTGGAGTGTAAAGTGTAGAGTGTGGAGTCTAAATAAATTGTGGAGTGTGGAGTGGAAAGTGTAGAGTGGGGAGTGCGGAGCTTCCCCCATAGACACGGCGACGCCACAGGAAAACCAGAGACTCGAGACAAGACACGTGGATGCAGAAAAACCAGCATTTCGTACGAGATTTCCTCCAATTTTGACATTTTCGACACATTATCAAACAGGTTGGAATGTCACAAAGTGCCACGCCTGCCACGCAAAACGACATGACAACCTGCTTGGACACATTCGAATAGGAGAGGTTTTCCAGCTTCCCCCATAGACACGGCGACGCCACAGGAAAACCAGCGACTCGAGACAAGACACGTGGATGCAGAAAAACCAGCATTTCGTACGAGACGTCCGGCAATTTTCACAGCTGGCACATGACAAAAGGAGAGGTTTTGCAGCTTCCCCCATAGACACGGCGAAGCCACCATAAAACCAGAGACTCGAGACGAGACACGTGGGAGCGCCAAAACGAGCATTTCGTGCGAGACTTCCTCCAATTTTCACACTGTGTAGCTTCAAAATGAACGTTTTCCTACGAGTTTTCCTTAGAACCTGAAAATTTGCAACCTCAAAATCGATGTTTCGTGCGAGGCTTCCGTGAATTTTCAGCAGATCGCACCAAGTGCCACGCCTGCCACGGAATTTGCACCTTGTCGCCACTTGACGCAGCCCCGCCAATGCGATTTGCAATAAACAACGCAACACGACACGTCTAAAGTGCTGCGCCACGTCCAAAGTGCTGCGCCTGCAACGAAAAAATGCAATACATTTTCTGAAAACGTCGCAAAGGTATTGCGCCTGCCACACAAAACGGCTTTCGACACGTTACAAAACACGTCTGAATGTCACGAAGTGCCACGCCTGCCACGCGAAACGAAGCAACGAGACGTCTGAAACCTCCAAAAAGGACCACCTCTGCAGAACTTACCATAAGCACGGCCGTACAGCAATCCTGCATAATGAAAAATTGTTCAACAATTTTATGCGGCCATATATAGCAATCGCGCATATAGGAACGGTTGCGGACGGTTGCGGACGGTTGCGGACGGTTGCGGACGGTTGCGACCGTGAACGCAACGTCTAGCGAACACACCCTCAACCCCCAGACCCCCAGAGTGAAACGGGAACCCTTGCTACGCATTCGGGAACAAGCATTTCGTGCGAGGCTTCCTCCAATTTTGACATTTTCGACACGTTATCAAACAGGCTGGAATGTCACAAAGTGCCACGCCTGCCACGCAAAACGACATGACAACCTGCTTGGAAACCTTCGAAAGGAGACGTTTTGCGGCTTCCCCCATAGACATGGCGAACCTACCAGGAAACCGGAGACTGGAGACGAGACACGTGGGAGCACCAAAACAAGCTTTTCGTGCGAGACATCCGCCAATTTCCACAGTTGGAAACATGCGAAAAGGACATGTTTTGCAGCTTCCCCCATAGACACGGCGAAGCCACCATAAAACCAGAGACTCGAGACGAGACACGTGGGAGCGCCAAAACGAGCATTTCGTGCGAGACTTCCTCCAATTTTCACACTTTGTAGCTTCAAAATCAACGTTTTCCTACGAGTTTTCCTTAGAACCTGAAAATTTGCAACCTCAAAATCGATGTTTCGTGCGAGGCTTCCGTCAATTTTCAACACATCGCACAAAATGCCACGCCTGCCACGAAATTTGCACCTTGTCGCCACTTGACGCAGCCCTGCCAATGCGATTTACAAAAAAACACGCAACACGATACGTCTAAAGTCCTGCGCCTGCCACGAAAGATGACGATGGACACGTCCAAAGTGTTGCGCCTGCTACGAAAACTGCAACACATCTTCTGCAAACGGCGCAAAAGTATTGCGCCTGCCACACAAAACGACTTTCGACACGTTACAAAACACGTCTGAATGTCACGAAGTGCCACGCCTGCCACGCGAAACGAAGCAACGAGACGTCTGAAACCTCCAAAAAGGACCACCTCTGCAAACCTAACCGTAGGCACGGCCATATAGCAATCGCGCGAACGGTTGCGGACGGTTGCGGACGGTTGCGGACGGTTGCGGACGGTTGCGACCACAAACGCAACGTCGAGCGAACACACCCTCAACCCCCGGACCCCCAGAGTGAAACGGGAAGCCTTGCTACGCATTCGGGAAAAAACAGCATTGTAGGCTTTGATCCCCAAAAATATCCTGGCTTGGCAGTTGACCGAGGAGAGAGCCTTTGACTTTTACACCGCCGCATTTATATAGCCTTTTGTACCTTCCATGTCTGTCACTATTTCCTTGATTCTGCCTGTCAGACAACTCAATCCCTTTCCAAAGAGCAAATTTCCGGAATAGTTTGATCTCCGCTGTCGGCCGTTGTCTCATTTGCCCCTCGCAGAGGCACAGTCTTGGAGCCGGCTGTCTTGCGAGCTGCAACGTAACAGAAGAAAACGACACACAAAGACAAAGGACAAAAAGATGGCAGACTACTGTGGCGCAATGTGACGGCATCACAAGCTGCTCAACGCCTCGTCTGGATGAGAACATAACAGAACCCAGCCTTCTTGCTTTCACTTACTTGCCGACCACAAGCTACACAACAGAATTGCGGCACTTAGAACAGGTGCTACACATTTTGCAAAGCTTGCAGAAACAGGCAGACAACATGCCCAAACACACGCGCACACACACAAACTCGATTCATATGGCACAAGAATTACAGCTTCTTTCCATTCTGCAAGCAGGTGAATAGACTGATTGGATGATCTGAATGAGATCGAAAATTGGTAAGCCTTTGTCATCATGATTCTCATTGTCGCTGTAATATACACTTCTAGCCAGCTTGTTGCAATTGCCCATCGTGCTCCACCGCACCAATACAGAGTTATAACTTATAACGGCAATCAGAAATATGCAGAGAAATGTTCCCCTCCTTCCGTCCTGCTGCTGCTGCTGCTGCTGCTGCTCCTGCTGACGCTGATGCTGATGCTGACGCTGCTGATGATGCTGATGCTGACACTGCTGATGATGATTAGAAAGAATGAGGACAAAGGAATAAGAAGACGATGACTATGATTATGAAGATGAAGAAACAAAAATATGATGATGACAAAGATGATGATTAGAATGGTGATGATGATGATGATGGCGATGATGATGATCATGATGATGATGATGATCATGATGATGATGATGATGATGATGACGGCGCTGACGATGAAGATGATGATGAGGAGGAGGATGATGATGAGGATGATGGATGACTGATGACTGATGACCGATGATTGATGATGGTATTGCCGCATATGCAGACCTATGAGTAAGTCAAGAGCGCATTGTAAACACGTCTGCCGTTTGAGCTGTCCCGAGCGGTTTAAAGTTTTTCTTTTTGCCAACAAATTACGGAGGGCTATTTTTTTTCGCGGCAGGTTTTGTTTCTTTTTTGTTCCTGTTTCTCTGATTTTCTGTTTTCTGCTTCTCTACTTTTCTGCTTCTCTGCTTTTCCTGCTTTTTGCTTTCCCTGCTTCTCTGCTTTTCCTGCTTCTCTGCTTTTCCTGCTTCTCTGCTTTTCCTGCTTCTCTGCTTTTCTGCTCTTTGCTTTTCCTGCTTCTTTGCTTTTCTGCTTCTCTGTGTTCCCTGCTTCTCTGCTTTTGTATTTCTGTGCCTTTCTACTTCTACTATTCCACTTTTTCTTTTCTTCAGTCATGTGTTTTTGCTGCTCTACTTCCTGCTCCTTTGCTTCTTTGCTTCCTGTCTTTACTGCCTCTTTGTTTTTAATTTTCTTTTGCTTTATTCTGTTCTGTTTGTATCCTAAGTGAAACCCTACAGAGACCCTACGTGAAACCCAAAGAAACCCTAAAGAAATCCTGATAAGAAACCCTACATGAAGCCTTAAATGAACCCTAAAGAAACCATGAATGAACCCTAAAGAAACCATAAATTAATCCTAAAGAAACCATAAATAAAACCCTAAAGAAACTTAAATGACATCCCAAAGAAACCCTAAACAACACTCTGAAAAAACCACTCAGTGAACCTCAACTGACACCTTAGCTGAAACCCTGAATTGACACCCTAAAGAAACCCTAAATGAAACCCTAAATGAAGCCCTAAATTGAAACCCTAAATGAAACCCTAAACGAAACCCTAAAGAAACCCTAAAGAAACCCTAAATGACACCCTAAATGACACCCTAAAGGAACCCACTTGAACGTTTAGAAATCGTGAAAAGAAATCCTGATAAGAAACTCTGGAATGAAACCCTAAAGAAAGCTTAAATGAACTCCTGAATGAAACCTTAAATTGAAACCCTAAATTAAAACCCTAAGAAACCTTAAATGAAACCCTAAAGAAACCTTAAATGAGACCCTAAATGAAACCCAAACCGAAACCCTAAAGAAACTCTAAATGAAACCCTAGAGGAGCCCTAAAGAAACTCTAAATGAAACACTAAAGAAACCCTAAATGAAACCCTTAATGAAACCCTAAATGAAACCTTAAACGAAACCCTAAAGAAACCCTAAATGAAACCCTAAATGACACCCTATATGAAACCCTAAAGGAACCCTAAAGCTTGAACGTTTAGAAATCGTGACGGGAAATCCTGATAAGAAACCCTCGAATGAAACCCTAAAGAAAGATTAAATGAACTCCTGAATGAAACCTTAAATTGAAACCCTGAATGAAACCCTAAATGAAACCCCAAATGAAACCGTAAGCAAAAAAACCCTAAATGAAACCCTAAATGAAACCCTAAATGAAGCCTCAAGAACCCCCAAGAGACCTACATGAACGTTTGAAGCACCAAAATGTAGCAAATACCATGCAAATGAGAGGTTGAAATGCTAAAATGTGACAAAGACCATGCAAAATGGAACGCGAACATGGCCAAATGTAGCAATACCATACAAAATGCAAAGTGACCATGCCAAAATGCAGCAAATACCATGCAACAGGTTCTAGTTCCAAACTGTTGCGAATACAAGGCAAATGGTACCGGGAAAGAAAGCCAAAAAAATATCCAAAACCTGAGGCAAAAAAAAATCCCAAACCCATTCTACACAAATTAACTCAACCTATTTCAATCCTACCATTTTCTGTGTGTCATGCCAGGAAAGCGCAAATGCTGAGGACTCTTGATGGCATTCGCCGCACCGGCACAGATGGACTATGTATATACATGACTTTATGACCTGCATTTGGCTAACTTCCAGGAGCCTGGGCGCCGATGTTTCCAATACGCAGACGTGGCGCTTCCATGTTTGAATTACACAGAGCAAAAAGTGCAATACTTATCACACTCCTTGTCTATATATACGTATACATATACACATACACATACATATACATATCATATACATATACACAAACACAAACACATACATATACATATACATAAACACATACACATACACATACATATACATATACATTTACATAGACACATAACACATACATATGCATCTACAGATACATATACACATATAAAATACATATTCATACCTGTATGTAAATATATATATATACACAGATAGACTCACACATACATACATACATGCATGCATGCTTGCTTGCTTGCTTGCTTGCTTGCTTGCTTACTTGCTTACTTGCTTACTTGCTTACTTGCTTGCTTGCTTGCTTGCTTGCTTGCTTACTTGCTTACTTGCTTACTTGCTTACTTGCTTACTTGCTTACTTACTTACTTACTTACTTACTTACTTACAAAGAAATAGAAATGCATACAATACACAAATATAAGAAGTACACACGCGCACATATATATATATATACCTCGTCCTCGTTGTGTAAAATGAAGCAAGCGTATGCTCTTTGCAGCATATAGGCTTTAAGCTGATGGACAGTCACGGGCCGCCCTGTGTCTGTCCGTTTTGTGTGACTGCAGGAAGACTCAGGTTTTTCTGCACCCAGCCGCAGAGAGCACCGAGGTTTGTGGAGGTGGCCACCCTCAAGCTGCGTTTGCTATACACGCAGTTTGACTTGGCCGAGGGATTCTGCCCGGCATTTGAATTGCCAGGGCAGCCTTTTGTAGCGGACCCGGACCTACCGCCAAAGGTCGGGGCTGCACCGCCGGGGAGTTGCCACTGGCCTTCCCGAGGCAACTCAGGCAGAGGAGTGCCTGAGGTCGACCACTCCGAAGGCCAAGCCCGGGCCACCTGGAGAGTCCAAGCTAGAGCCAGTAGGAAGCCCTGTGGCAGGGGCAGCACCATCCCTCCCGAGAAACGGGGAGGTTGAGGAGGAGAAAAAAGAAAGGAAGGAAAGCAGATCAGCACCCAGAGGCCATAGAGACCCGCGTTCAGAGACTTCCCAGAAAAGTCGAAGAGAAGTGAAAGAGGATCCGTACACCGCCAGTGCCAAGAGGAGAAGGTCAGAAAGTGCAGATAGACACGGGAGGAAGAGATCCAGGAAGACCAGAAGTCGGACTCGAAGAAGGTCGAGGACTAGGAGCCGACACCGATCCAGACAGAGGAGAAGAGAAGAGTTTCCTGAGGCATCAAGGGAGAAGAGATCACCCAAGTTTGAGGAGGTAAAGAAGGAAAGCCCCAGTTCAGAGAGGAAGCCAAAATCTGGGCGTGTGCCAGTCCAGAGCCTGCCCTGCCACCCTCCCGAGATAGTGGGAGGAGGTTGCCAACACCCCCATCAGTCCCCCCCTCCAGACAGGGGCTATTGGACCGGGCCTATCAGGGCTTATCGCCGAGAAGAGGAGCCTCCCGAGACGTGTGAGGAAGAGGAGTGGCCTCAGAGCAAAGGAGTCAAGAAGAGGGAGAAGAACAGAGCGTTTCGGGAAGCCAATTACGGGCGTGGCTGGCACCGAGACGGGAGGCGGCAGCTGCAGCGCCCCCCGTACGGAGAAGGCCAGCAGCGGCTGGGGAAGACAGAGGGGGTCTTGTCTGGGTGCCAGCACAAGAGGCAAAGCTAGAGGATTTTGAGGCTGGTTGCAAGATTGTGGCTGAAGGTGAGTACTGGGAAGGAAAGGCGGACGTTTGTGGAGAGATTGTTGGTGCCCGGGTGGACGGAACACATCGCTACTTGAGAGAGTGCGGGCGACAGGTACTCACAGCGAGGCAGTCTTGAAGTACTTGTCGGGCTCCCGTTTAAGGGAGATAGAAGTCCATCTGTGCCCCGAGCCATGCGACGCTCGACTTTGGCGCAACGACCTTCTGCACGGCCAGAAGCTGAGGAAGGCGGAGGGGCCAAAAGACCCATGGATGGACAATCTGGTAGAGAAGAGGAGAATAGAAGAGGCAGACGTAGATATGAACCAGGAGTTGAGGAGAGAGGCAGAGCTAGCGATGCAAGAAGCCAGAGAGAGAGAGAGAGAGAGAGAGAGACTCCCAAGCGTTGGCCAAGGAGGCCAAGAAAGAAGAGGGCAAGAAAGGAAAGAAGAAGCAGAAGAAGAGAGGAGACCGCCGTTTGAAGGCATCAGATGGAAAGAAGGAGTTCAACCTGGTTTACGGAGGGACGGGGCTAGATCGCGATGCAGGTGTCAGAAAGCTAGCCATTCGAACTGCCAAGAAAGTCCGAAAAAAGGTAAAGAAGAAGAGACGCAAGTCATCAAGCAGTCAAGGATCAACTTCAATGTCGAGCTCTACAACCACGAGCGAGGAGGTGATCGACGTGGAGCTCTTCGAAGGCCAGAGGGAGTCCCATCGAATATGGAAGAAAGCTCCCGGGGCATTGGCATTGGCCACGATAGCCGAGGCCCAGCCAGAGCCTTTTAACCAGGCAAGGGATTCAGCCGGACATTCAGACGGCCTCCTTGCCCTCTTTGATGGTCCAGTACTATCGGAGCAGCCTCCAGCCCGTTATGACTCCCGCGCTATCCAAGGAATCCCATCATTGGGCCATGATGGTGGATCTCCTGTTGAGAGGGGAGGTGGCCAGGGGTTGCGACTTGGCCTGCCAAAGGCTGAAATCATTGGAGAGCTATGCCAAGGGAGTGACGCTGGACATCTCCCGCAACTTGGAGCTGTTGCCACCCGAGCGAACTTCCCTGGTGATGAGACGCAACAGGCGGGCCGGTTGACAGCGGAGGAGTTGAAGATCCAGCACAAGACCCGCTACCTCTCTCCGGGCAAAGGCGGGGAAGCATCCTCCCATTACACGGGGGGCAAAAAAGGGAAGACAAAAGGCGATGGCAAGAAGGGCAAAGGAGATCACAAAGGCACAAGAAAGGGCAAGGAGGAGGACAAAGAAAAGTCGGCTTGAGGATCCTGAGAGCAAAGCGAGGCGTTGGCAGGCGGAAAGAAGATGGTGCTGAGAAGAGAGGAGTGGCTTTAGCAGTTGGGGCAGCGATGGGAGAGCTTGGCGGCATTGTCTCCCGAAGCTGCAGGTCGTATGATGAGACGGCTCGAGAAGGGGGCCCTGTTTTCACCAGTGCATGTGACGCTGAGGCGTGCCTTCCGAAAGGTGGCTTTTCAGCCCGAATTCATTCTTTTGCTTCTTTTGAGGATTTGCTTGGTTGGGCTTGGGATGCTCTTCAAACCATTAGACGTAAAATGCGCGAGCAGTTGCCCAAGGCGAAAGAGGTAGCTTGTTTGCCAAGAGCTCAAGATGACATATTTCCTTTGCCAGTATCCCAGGCATCAACCTTCGCATTGCGCTGCACCGTGGGTGCCTTGAACGACCTTGCAGGCTACGGGCCTGAGGTGGCAGACGCTGATTTGCCGCCATCCGAGGTGGTCCAAAACAATTTGCAGCGGCTGATTGGGAGGTTTGAGATTTGGGACACCCCTCGACCCGAAGTTTATTTTTGCCAAGTTTTCAGTAGCAAAACTTTGGATTATACAGGTGAAGAGGTAAAGGTTGCACAGCGTCTGAGCTGGTCGGCAGTATCCCCTTCTCTACCTGAAGGGGTGGGATGTTTGCCACTTGAGGATTTCTGCCGGCTCGGGACCTTGCACTATATAGCCAGCATTTCACCGACTACCTGCTTTTTGAGGATGCGATTCAGGTGCCTAGGGCGCCAACCGTGATGTTGGAGCCGGGATCCTGGGAAGAGTTGTGTGAGGGGCTTATCTCTAAGAATATTTGTGAAGTTTGGCCCCTTGAAGAATTGTTCCATTGGCAGGGGCAACCTTTGGTCAACGGGCTTTTTGCAGTAGGCAAGGGGGAATACATTGGAGCCGTGGAGACACAGAGGCTCATCATGAACTTGACCCCATTGAATGCTCTCACGCAAAGCCTGAAGGGAGACGTAGGGACACTCCCGGGGCTATCGGGCTTCTCAGGATTTTTGTTGGAGGATGGGGAGGTTGCAGTCCTCAGCAGTGAAGACATTAAATGTTTTTTCTATTTATTTGCCGTGCCTCAGGCTTGGAAACCTTTTCTGGGCTTCAATCGTGATGTTCCCTCAACGTTAGTACCAGAGCGCTTTGCTGGACGGTGGTGTGTGTTGGTATCGCGTGTTCTCCCAATGGGATTTGCCAACTCCGTTGCAATTGCGCAACACATTCATAGGAATGTTGTACGCTGGAGTGCTGAGGGAATGTCGCCACCAATTGGGGGTGAAGGTGAGTTGAGAAAAGACATGGCCATTAGTGCTGCCCGCAAGTGTTACAGCTACGGGAGGACTACTTGTCCCTTGGGTTGCCCGGGCACCCTAGGAAAGCTGTTGAACGCCAATACAAAGCAGAGATCCAAGGTGCACTGTTTGATGGGTTGCAAGGGTTTGCTATGCCTAAGGTGTCTAAGGTCTGGCAAGATGCTTTGCTGGCTGTGGAGCTTCTGCAACGTACTGCTACCCTCAAGGAATTGCAGGTGGTTTGTGGGGGCTTTGTTTACATGGCCATGTTCCGCCGACCCCTACTGTCTGGGTTGAATGAGGTCTGGTCTTTTATGCAGCGGTTGGATCGTGGTGGTGCTCGTAAGGTCTTGTCTGCCCAAGCGGAAGCTGAGCTGTCAAGGTTTATACCGCTTTTACCGTTGCTCAAATGGATTTCAGGTCCCAATTTTGTGAGCAGGTCACTTGCAGTGATGCATCAACTTTAGGTGGGGGCATCTGTGTTTCGGAAGGGCTCACTGAGTATGGTGTGGCGGTGACCAACTGTACTATTCGCGGGGATGTTCCGGAGGCGCATGACCTGGTACAGGTTCTCACTGTGGGACTTTTTGATGGTATAGGAGCGCTAAGAGTGGCGGCAGACACTCTAGGGCTACCCATTGCTGGGCATGTGAGTGTTGAGGTGGATCCAAAGGGTCGGCGAGTGGTGGAAAGCTGGTTCCCAGGAACTCACTTCTTTGAGGACATCCGGGACTTTGGGACCGTAGAAATCAAACAGTTGGCGGTTGAGTTCAGTCGGTAATGTGGGGCTAGTCATCATAGGGGCTGGTCCCCCATGTCAAGGAGTCAGTGGTTTGAACGCTGACAAGCTTGGTGCCCTTCGAGATGCTAGAAGCTCCTTGTTCCAAGAGATACCTAGGATTGAAGAGGCCTTCAAGAAGGCAATGCCGTGGGCACAAGTGCATATAGGCTCATGGAGTCAGTGGCGTCTATGTCCGAGGAGGATCGGGAAATCATGAGTGCTGGCGTTCAAGGTCAAGCGTTCAAGATTGATGCATTTGGGCTGGCTCTATGTCACAGGCCTAGGCTGTACTGGCCTACATGGGAATTGCGTTCCGACTTGACGCACTTGTCACCCAGCCTCCCGGGGACGGTTGGGCCCAAATGGGAGAGGTTGCTTTCTTTGGTGTGCCGGATGCTAAGTCCTTTTTGGAAGCAGGTTGGCAGACTGCGGACAATTGGGGGCTCCCCACCTTCACCACTTCGCGGCCATGGGGGAACCCTGGACGTAGGCCGGCCGGTTTGGGAGAAATTGTCAGGCCCATGAAATTGAGAGGTGGAAGCTGGACAAGCATCGTTTCCCCCCTTACCAGTATCGAGACGCGGCAGGCTTGATCAACAAGAAGGGTGAATGGAGGCGCCCAAACATTGCCGAGCGTGAAGCCATGATGGGGTTCCCTGTGGGCTACACAGCACCATGCGCAGGAAAGTCAGCTCAAAAAGGGGAGGACTATGAGGGCTCCCGTCTTACCTTGCTTGGCAACTCGTGGCAGGTGGGAGTGATTGTGTGGCTCCTGTCGCAGTTGTGTTATCCTCTGGGGCTCTGTTGAGCGGTTGTGTTGCGCGGACATCATCAAGAAGCTTACTCCCGGTCAGGGGAGTCAATTGCAGACCTTGCTTCTTCGACCACCGCTTCATCGTCAGGGACGGGTGAAAGCGGTTTCCTCCCGGGGGCTCGTCAAAAAGATGATGGGCATCACTTCAATTAAGGGAGAGGATTTGTTGCTTCAAGGGAGTAGTGAGCTGCTGGTGAAGCACCACAGGCTGCGGGCCTCCATTCCAGGGAAGCTATGGAAATGGCGGACGGTGGCAGGCTGATGGAAATCTACCAGCGACCACATCAACGTCCTGGAGCTACGGGCAATCCTTACCACCATACGTTGGTGGGTCAAACGTCGGAAATGTATTCCCTCTAGGTTCTTGCATCTTACTGAAAGCTTAGTGTGCCTGCACAGTTTGTGTAGAGGCCGGACCTCTAGCAAAAAGCTCAGGAGAACACTAATTCGGATCAACGCAATCCTACTCGCTGCAGACCTTCGCCCCACTTGGGGATATATCAATACAAAGCAAAACCCCGCCGACCGGCCAAGCCGGCGGCCCTTCAGGCGCAAATGGGGAAAGTGAAAAAGCACTTTGAAGGTCGCACAAGAGAGGAGCGCATACAAGTCCGAAAGAACCTAGGGAAGTTAAAAGATTTGACCGTGCAACCGCAGACGCGTCGTAGATATGAGAAAGCCCGCAACCAGTTCTACCAGTTCCTGTCTACAAACCAACTTGAAGTTCCTCGCCAAGCCCATGAGCTGGATCTCCTATTAGGGGAATACCTAGAGCACTTATGGTGCACAGGGGAAGGCCGTGGCAACGCAGCTGACACGCTAGCCGCCATTCAAGACCTACAACCCCATAGCAAAGGGCACTTGGCCTTGTCGTGGAGACTTCTGAAGACCTGGCATATTAATGAGATCCCTTGTAGAGCACCTCCGCTGCCCGAAATCTGCCTTCAGGCAATGGTTGGATGGTCCATCTTCAAAGGTGAATTTGCCTTTGGGTTGTCGTTAATGCTTGGTTTCTGTGGTCTTTTGAGGACCAGTGAGTTGTTGGAAGTGAAATCCTCCCAAATTTTTCTTGAAAGCTCCAGAAAACCAGCAGTAGTCTCCCTTGGTATGACCAAGGGTGGTAAACGTATGGGAGCAGCTGAAAGCGTCCGTTGAATTAGTACTGCGCTGGCTGAAGCTCTGGAAGCAGCAAAGTTCGTCCTTTCACAAACTTTGTGACACCGCAGCCAAATGGCGTGCATGTTTAGTCGGTGTTTAGAGGCAGTGGGTTTGGCTGAACTGTCCTTTAGACCCTATAGCCTCCGACGTGGAGGAGCAACCCGTTGGTTTTCTAAACATGGTAGCTTGGACCGAGTAGTGGTACAAGGGCGCTGGCAAGCTCAGCGTACCGCTCGGATGTATATAAATGCAGGGTTAGCGGCTAGCGGTTATTGCCGAAATGGCAATCCCAAGAGCCCAACTCAAACCTTTTCTGACAATTTTTCGCACTGGTTCACTTAATCCCCGATTTGCTTGAGCGCTCTTCGAGCAGTAACGGGGGGACATGGAAGAGGGGAGTGGAGGTTGCCCTTGGTGATGTTTGGTGTTTTATTTTTGCAATTTTTGCTACCTGTGCTCAGTTTTCCCTTAGTGTGGCAGGGGTTGCTGAGGGGTGGTACCAATGAGGGGGTATTAACTGTTTTTCCTGGTGTGGCGGAATGACAGTTAATGCTGGGCCCTAAGAAGGCATGAAGCCTAAATCCTGGGATAAAGGATTTCGTCCGGTGAAGGGCGTTTTTTAATAACCCCCGAGTGGAGAAGGGGTTTCCGGTTATCTGTTCCCAAATTGAATTTAAGTTTTGTGACAAACTACTGCTCTGCGCAAAAGAGTGAGAGCGCAACTGAATATATAATAATATATATATACATATACATACACACTACACATGCGTATATACATATGCATGTGTACATACACACACACATATATATACATACATATGTACATAAACATATATACATATGTATATATATATATATACATACACATATATATATACATATATATATATATATGCATACATTACATTACATTGCATTGCATTACATTGCATTGCATTGCATTGCATTACATTGCATTACATTACATTAAATACATTGCATGCATTACATTACATTACATACATTACATACACTACATACATTACATACATTACATACATTACATACATTACATGCACTACATACGCTACATACACTATATACATACACTACATACATTACATACATTACATACACTACATACACTACATACATTAACATACATTACACACATTACATACATTACATACATTACATACATTACATGCATTGCTTACATTACATACATTACACACATTACATACATTACATACATTACATACATTACATACATTACATACATTACATACATTACATACATTACATACATAATTACATACATACATGCATGTACATATACATATAAATGTACAGACACAGATACATGTACACGTACAGATGCGCACACATATACACATACATACACACATGCATTTACCCAGACATGTACGCATACATATACACATACGTACAATTATACATACACATACACATACAAATACGCACACAAATGCATACACACAAACATACATACATGCAAACATACATACATATACATTCATACGCATGTGCATAAACACAAAAGCACACATACATATACATGTACATATACATATACTATATACATCTAGGTATCTATTTTCATACGCATGTATACGTATACGTATACATGTGCATTTACATACACATATACACCTAGACGTGCAGGTACACATACATATACATATACATATACACATACATATACATACATACATACATACCTACCTACCTACCTACCTACCTACCTACATATATACATATGAAAGTGCATATACATACATACACATACACATGCATACACACATAAACATTCGCATATAGGTATTTACATACTTTTATACATGTACTCATATTTACATATATGCATACTTACAAAGTATACATGCATACATATATACCTATACACATGTATACACGCACACATATATACATATATGCATACACATGTATACATGTATACATATATGCAAATATACATGTATAGAGGTATACATGTATTCATGTATACATATATACATATTCATGTATACATATATTCATATATACATTTATACATTTGTACATTTATACCTGTATACATGTATAAATGTATTCATATGTACATATATACATATATACACAAATACATATTTAGATATTTGCAGACCATATACATATACACATACATATATATATATACATACATATCTAAGTATATATATATATATATAATATATATATATATGATACATGATATACCGATGCCTGTTGCATGTACCAGGCCAGTAGAGAACCAGGCTGGAGAAAATTTTTGCTTTGGGTTTAACAAACCGGATTTTCAAGAGATAAAACGTAGTCTCACAAGACTCAATAGACGCAGTAGGTTTGTTTTTTCTTTTGCACCCCGACAGCTTTCAAAATGTCAATTGTTTTTGGTTCTCAGGCAGCAGGACCATCAGCGCCGTTATTGCCTTGGCATCCGCAGCATTGGACAAGGATTTGGGAAACTGTTTTCACTTCCGCCAAAACTTTGTACATTTCACCATCCAAACTTAGGCCACCAGTGCCAGAGCCCCCACCAGGACTGAGCACGTGGTATGGTGTTTTACTGTTTTATCATGATTTTTAAATTTGGTGATGTTTGGCACCTTTGCGTGGTTTCACTGGAGTATTTGATGCATTTGCAGACTTTATGATAGCCAAGGGGCATCGCCTGAAGAATTTGAAGCTTATCGCCTTGGGCTCAGAATTTGCTTCAAAAGGTGATAAATATTCTTGATGGAGAGACTAAAACTATATTTGTGATGGTTCATGTATGGAATCAAATATAAGATGGAACATGCCCTAAGATTTGGACAACCCAAACCACCCTTACAGTAGGTTCTGCGGCCAGACATGCCCCATGTTGGGGCCATCCTTTCGGTTGCCAGGCCAGCAATGTTGGCGTCAATACTACCAGTGGCACAAGTCTCAATTCCCACTGTGCTGTGGGTTTGAGCGATCAGCACAACTGCTGTTTTTTGTCACGCTTAGGTGCAAGGTTTGGCAGAAGTACTACGACCAAAGCAAAGGCTCTCCGTAGAAACACTGAAATGAACCGAATGAATGCATCCTTTTGGATGACAAGGATGAACACTTTACCAGTGAAAAGGATTAACATGATTTAGCGTCCATTGGCTGCCCAGAACCCGATTTGCCTTAGGCTCCATCACCTGTCGATAAGTCATGTGACAATGCTGCGATGTCAGATGCAAAACATCATATATAGACACATCATAGCTCAGCCATCGCCGGCCAGAAGTCCTTGAAGTGCTCCAATTATTCCCATGCAGTCATGTGAGTCTTTTGCCAAACCAGACAATTGTGTGTGGGTTCAATTCCTTGAGGATAGTACATATGTACAGTATACACTCCATATTCATCCGCGGTATTGCATAGGGCAGTGCTTTTGTATTGGTAGGCAAACAATGTGAGATTTTGAGGGCAAAAAGTCTAATCATGGTGGATTACCATACAATTGTAAATCTTGTTTCTTGAACATTTCACAGTAAATCAGCTTGACCTTGAACATGCCTGAGATGCTGCAGCAGGTATCGATTGAAGGGGGCACGAGATCGGAACGATGAGACACATTTTTTTCTCAACAGTGTTGTGTTGGCTTAGGGGGCTCAGCCCAGATAATGTTTCAGTGCGGCTTCCGCTGCTGGTTTGGGGGAGGTTCCGCAGGTTCTGGGAGGTTCGCATTGTAAGGATCCTTATTCCTTATCATGCAGAGTTTCACGGGCTTGGTTTTAGGTTCTATTTAGAGATTCCAGTGTAGGTTGTGCGGTTTGTCGCCTGTCACCAGGGTTGAAACTTGATAGGTTCACCGGAAGTAGCGGTGTATGGTACTTTTTTGTGTGAAAGGGCTTCGGTCCATACGTACTATGTGTGGAAAGTGTTGCTTGAACAAACTGAACACTGAAGCTTGTAACAAATGTCTTGGAGGTGAAAATTGATCGAGGGTGTCATGTTGTTGCTCGAATGATGGATGCCCCAAGGAAGGGTGTCATAAGTGTCCTTGGAGCACCTATCATGGTGGCATATTTGCCAACGCAATGAAAGTTGAAGGATGTCGAGCATGTGTTCAATCGTTCAACAAAACATGGAAATAAGGGTGTCATATGATATGGTGTCATTTTTGTTATCGGATGCTGGGTGCCCCACGGATTAAAATTGAAGGGTGTCACAAGTGTCCTTCGTGCACCGTGCAGCTATCATTTGGCAACAAATGACTGGCTGCTGTCACGCTTTCCTATCACATTCTACCATGTTGGCTGTTGGGGATACCAGTTGGGCTGATTTTCTTTATACAGCAGACGATGCAGAATCTTAGCCGTGAGACGAAGGAATTTCATAACCAGCTCTGTGCACATACTGGGGCTCTTCTTTGTGGAGGCAAGAACCAAGCACCTGGAGGAGAACGTTTGCGTTCTTTGGACATGTTGTGCGTTGTGAGTCTTCACACGAACACCACACTAACTTTTGGATGTTTCTGGACCTACAATTTATTGATTTGCCCTTCGTTTTGGTTTTCTGGAGAGGCAGTGGGGCCATGGCTGGACACCAGGTGCGGCCTATTTTTCTCAGCAAAACAACCCCGCTTCCGAGGGAGTGCCGAGTCCCCAAGAATTGAATAATAAACCATTGAAAATTGGACTTGACTCGACATTTAGAATGCATTACATTACTTTTTCCTTTTGGGTGAGACCACCTACCATGTTTTCCTTTGGCCAAAAGCCTAAAATCTGGTGGATTCACTGTTTTAAGTTACGTGGGTGTGCTCAAATCTCAGACCTATGCCTGATCTCGGCTGATTCCGCCAGTTTGAGGTATTTTGGAGTTATCACTGCTTCTCTAAGCACAAAAGAACTATCAAAACATCACAGATCCTCGTCAAGCCCTCAAGCTGCTTGTGCATGCTTGTGCCAAGCTACTTGTCCTGCAGGCCGCGCATCCAAAAGGCACTGGCAAGGGCAAGCCGCTTGCCAGACAAGAAAACATGTTGCAAACAGGTTTGCTTCATGTTAGTTAAGCGGCAAGCCATGCACAGAAAATTAAAGGACCGGATAACCCTACAAGTCAACTTCTTCCAATACTGAGCTTCAAAGGTTGTAGCGGGGACGGGGAAGGAAGGAAAGACAAAGGAGGTGGTGAAGGATCGACAAGGTAAAACAGTTGTGTGTGACAAAGTGGAATGTGAAAGACGGTGTGTGACAAAGCAAGAAGGTATGTGAAAAGATAGTATGTATGTATGTATGTATGTATGTATGTTAGTATGTATGTATGTATGTATGTATGTATGTATGTATGTATGTATGTATGTATGTATGTTATGTATGTATGTATGTTATGTATGTATGTATGTTATGTATGTAATGTATGTAATGTATGTAATGTATGTAATGTATGTAATGTATGTAATGTATGTAATGTATGTAATGTATGTAATGTATGTAATGTATGTAATGTATGTATTGTATGTATGAATGTATGTATGTATGTATGTATGTATGTATGTATGTGTGTGTATGTATGTGTGTGTGTATGTATGTATGTATATGTATGTATGTATATGTGTGTATGTATGTGTGTGTATGTATGTGTGTGTATGTATGTGTGTGTGTATGTATGTGTGTGTATGTATGTGTGTGTATGTATGTGTGTGTATGTATGTGTGTGTATGTATGTGTGTGTATGTATGTGTGTGTATGTGTGTGTATGTATGTATGTATGTATGTGTGTGACAAAGTTGCGTGTGAAAGATGGCGTGTGTGAAAGTGACGTGAGTGCGCGACAGTGCAGACTTTTTTTTTGCCAGCGCTGCAATGTCATCTGCTCTGCATGCGGCAGCACTGCGGACCTGGAATGGGCTGAATGAAGTGTTCCATGATCTTCTGTGCTCCATGTGGTGCAACGAGATGTGCTACGTGACAACCGCGCCTGTCCTACAGCCAGGAATCCGACGATGATGACATAGAGGAAAGGTACCTGGCCGCAAAAGTGTAGAACACAAATGTAGCTGGTTGTCAATGCAAGTATGGAAGACAAGTACAGAGCGCATGCCTGTCAAGTCACGACACAGTCACAGTGGCAAGCACCATGGTTATGACGTATATCAACCAACGACAAATTTCAGAAACACACAGGCGTCATAGACATTCAAATAGGTGTCGGTTCGCGATGCATCTGCATACGCTTCTTCCCACATTGGGTCAAAGCTCTTGCTCCCGAGGACATAGACTCGTTGACTCATTGTCGGGCCGTGCGACACGCGCCTGTCCTCCGTCCAAGAAGCTCACTGGATGGGCACCTGGGCCAGTAGCAAACACACAGAGGCTGCATGCGTGCTATCTTGTTACTACATGACAGCGGCAACCAATGAAATCTTACTAGTTCCACCATATTGGATGTATTAAGCAATGAATTGGCGATCAGGAAGGCGATTCCGCCTGTTGCTCGGCTACTGCAATCTTCCACGTTCTTCTCGGTCTCGCGACGTTGCCATAGCTGCAGAAGCTTGTCAACAACGGACTAACTAAAGCCAAATACAAACATTTAAGCGTGAATCTTCCAAAGCTTCCGATCCAGAAACTTCAGTGGGCCGCCGTGCCACACACGCTTCTCTCTGTCCATGCAAGCAATCGAATAGGTACCTCCGCCTGCAGCAAACGGACAGAAGTTTGCAATATTTCATGTCAAACAGACCAGCCACAAACAGTTCAAAGCATATGTCAGACAGGCATCAATCAAGTTTCGTCTGCAACATATCACAGTTTCTGGTACATTCCCTCGTCTGCGAACTTTCTTCATCTTATGACGCTACCTGTGCAGTCTTTTCCCAAATATGTCAACCGCACGCAGTGTGACTGAGATTGGGCTCTTTGCACGTTGCGCCAAGCCATTCCGGTTCACTGCGCGTTCCGATGTCATCTGCTTGGCATGTCTTTCCACATTGAATCAACAATGCCGGAAGCCAAAGCAGCAGATAAGAAAGCTTGCGCACAGACTTTATACGCTAGCATGCTGAATAGCATCGCAGATTTCCGCGAAAGCCAGCTTATTCCAAGGGGAGTCCTTGCCGTCTTCCACCACAGAAAGATAAATTGGGTCAGACAGCAACTTGGAACTTAAAGTCAGTTTCTGCCCATCCGAAGACACCAGCACGTGAAGGTAATAGGGTGACGTAGACTCATCAGCACGAAATTCGGACAGCGTCCGCTGTCCCAGCTTCACGTTGCGTCGCAGCATCTCATAGAAGCGTTGCCGGAGGTGCTTGGCCAACGGGCTGTCTGCACACCGAAGGTAAACGTCTCTCAGTTCAATCTGGTCCAAGCTCGCAGAGAGTATGCGGCTCGGATGAGAGTCGTAGATGAAAGTTTGCAGCTCGCAGAACTCGTAGAGCGGACTGGTCCTAGGCTGCGGTCTGTAAGCCGCATAGGTGGAAGCAGCCTTACCGATGACCACACGAATGTTCACTGGGGGCGGATCGTTGCTGGTAATCAGCTTGAGAACAATGTCAGGTCCATGTGAAGGAACCAACTGGCTGGCTCTTGGCTGCGGGAACACCCCATGTCCTTGTCGGAGAGGTGAAAACTGGCAACGTTCCAGCAATGGCACCAACAACCAAAAGGTATGGCATCGAGCCATGGTTCGCCCTTGAGAACAAAAAGGTCCGCCACGAGGTTGCCAGAGAGTGCTATCACTGTGCAGCGAACGTGGTCGTCGATAGCATGTGTGGCAGGTGTGGAGCAAAGCACAGGGCACAAAGAGCCGACCGGCGCAGCGACGTGACCGACTGCCGGCAATGGAACTTTCTGCAGCTTCTCGCAGAGCTGTTTGCACACATCTTCCAAATTGCGTGGTAGCTGGAGAAGCACTGCAGTTTGCTCTTCCAACGTATCTTCACCACCAGATCGGCTCAGCTCACCTGCCAACGTTGACAAAGTTGATGCGAGGTCCCGAGACAGCACCTGGCAGAAGAAGAGTTTGACCCAGGACTCGCACGTGTGACACAACGGAGCAAACGTATCGAAAAGGTGTGACAAAGAACGCACTGGAGCCTTTATCGGATGTCCGCTGCCAGCGACGCCGGCAGAGCAACTCGTGTCACTCCGTGGAAAAGGCATGATGCGGATTTGAAACGAATGCAAGCGTCTTCTTTTCAGTGAACGAAAGCAAGTGACGGTTTTGAAACCTTGGTGTGGTGACGATATCCTTTGTCATGTGCCGAAGAACTCACAGCTGCAAAAGAACAGTGCGCATGTACAAACAACAAAGCATGGGGCTTACTTACTCCTGTGACAACACCCCAACGAAACGGTCATTGCTCTAGTAACAAAATGTAGAACGTTACAAGACATGAAAGGAGGTAATGTAGACACTGGCATGCGGCATCCCCGCCGACCTTTTTTTGTTGCGAGCACGCCAATGTTAGAGCAAAGTGCCACGCCTGCCACGCAAAGTGCCGCGGCGTCACGGGCGACTAAACCAAGACCAAGCGCGGCACCCAGTGCCATCAGTGCCACGCCTGCCACGCAAAACGATGGTAGATGTGAGTTTGTGCCACACCTGCCACGCAAGACGACGGTAGATGTGAGTTTGTGCCGCGCCTGCCATGCAAAGTGCCGCGGCGTCACGGGCGACTAAACCAAGACCAAGCCGCCTGCCACGCAAAACGATGGTAGATGTGAGTTTGTGCCACGCCTGCCACGCAAAACGAAGGGTAGATGTGAGTTTGTGCCGCGCCTGCCACGCAAAGTGCCGCGGCGTCACAGAAGACCAAGCGCGCCACCCAGTGCCATCAGTGCCACGCCTGCCACGCAAAACGATGGATAGATGTGAGTTTGTGCCACGCCTGCCACCCAAGACGACGGTAGATGTGAGTTTGTGCCGCGCCTGCCATGCAAAGTGCTGCGGCGTCACGGGCGACTAAACCAAGACCAAGCCGCCTGCCACGCAAAACGATGGTAGATGTGAGTTTGTGCCACGCCTGCCACGCAAAACGACGGTAGATGTGAGTTTGTGCCACGCCTGCCACGCAAAGTGCCGCGGCGTCACGGGCGACTAAACCAAGACCAAGCGCGCCACCCAGTGCCATCAGTGCCACGCCTGCCAGGCAAAACGATGATAGATGTGATTTTTTGCCACGCCTGCCACGCAAAACGACGGTAGATGTGAGTTTGTGCCGCGCCTGCCATGCAAAGTGCCGCGGCGTCACGGGCGACTAAACCAAGACCAAGCGCGCCACCCAGTGCCATCAGTGCCACGCCTGCCACGCAAAACGATGGTAGATGTGAGTTTGTGCCACGCCTGCCACGCAAGACGACGGTAGATGTGAGTTTGTGCCGCACCTGCCACGCAAAGTGCTGCGGCGTCACGGGCGACTAAACCAAGACCAAGCGCGCCACCCAGTGCCATCAGTGCCACGCCTGCCACGCAAAACGATGGTAGATGTGAGTTTGTGCCACGCCTGCTACGCAAGACGACGGTAGATGTGAGTTTGTGCCACGCCTGCCACGCAAAACCATGGTAGATGTGAGTTTGTGCCACGCCTGCCACGCAAAGTGCCGCGGCGTTACGGGCGACTAAACCAAGACCAAGCGCGCTACCCAGTGCCATCAGTGCCACGCCTGCACGCAAAACCGTGGTAGATGTGAGTTTGTGCCACGCCTGCCACGCAAGACGACGGTAGATGTGAGTTTGTGCCACGCCTGCCACGCAAAGTGCCGCGGCGTCACGGGCGACTAAACCAAGACCAAGCGCGCCACCCAGTGCCATCAGTGCCACGCCTGCCATGCAAAACGATGATAGATGTGAGTTTGTGCCACGCCTGCCACGCAAAGTGCCGCGGGTGCCATCAGTGCCACGCCTGCCACGCAAGACGATGATAGATGTGATTTTGTGCCACGCCTGCCACGCAAAACGACGGTAGATGTGAGTTTGTGCGGCGCCTGCCACACAAAGTGCCACGCCTGCCACGCAAAGTGCCGTTATTGTATGTGAGAGAGGGTATGTGACAGTGAAGTTATAGTATGTCAGAGATGGTATGCGACAAAGTTGTGTGTGTGTGAGTGTGTGTGTGTGAAGTTATTGTATGTTAAGTTTGTGTGTGAAGTTATTGTATGTGAGAGTTGTGTGTGTGTGTGTGAGTGTGTGTCAAGTTATTGTATGTTAAGTTTGTGTGCGTGTGTGTGAAGTTATTGTATGTGAGAGAGGGTATGTGACAGTGAAGTTATAGTCGAAGGAAGTTTAGAAGTCAAACTTCCGACAATATGGAGAGATGAAAAGCAGAGCAGGGCAGAGGCACAGAGAAGAGGAAGATTAGAAGAGAGAAGATCAGAAGAGAAAGAGTAAGAGGACAGACGCTACAGATGCGCGAAAAGGTAGGAAAGTCGCGAAACACTGTGTTTTTCCAATGATTTGTGGCGCCGGAGGGTCGAAAAGTAGGCTCGCTAAAGCGGCGGGTGCGGAGCCAGCTGGCCACAGGAGCGATGCAAAATTGCACGCCGTTGTGGCGCGAAGCACATTTCCAAGTCAAAATGTACAAAACACCAGGGGTTCGGACCACTTTTGGAAGTTGAGATGTCGAAAAAGTGCACGCCGTTGTGGCGCGAAGCACATTTCCAAGTCAAAATGTACAAAACACCTCAGCTCCGGACCGCTTTTGGAAGTTGCGATGTCGAAAAAGTGCACGCCGTTGTGGCGCGAAGCACATTTCCAAGTCAAAATGTACAAAACACCTCAGCTTCGGACCACTTTTGGAAGTTGAGATGTCGAAAAAGTGCACGCCGTTGTGGCGCGAAGCACATTTCCAAGTCAAAATGTCCAAAACACACCATTCTCGGACCACTTTTGGAAG